AGTCAGGAGCCAAGGACCAACTGGTAAAGACATTCGAATGGAGAAAATCGAATGGAATAGACCTTCACCCAGTAGCAACAAGGGAAAACAAATTACCCGTGTTATATGCCGTCCGTGGATACGAGTCAATTCCAGACAGCAACCTCGAGGCACTACCAGGTGTATCTGAATCTGTGCTGAGAATAAACAAGTATATGGGAGGCACTTGCTTGCATAAGACAGATAGAGAAGGATGTCCTGTTTACATCGAAAGACTGGTAACACCTATAAGAATTATATTACAGAGATAATGAACCCTTTCTATTAGGGATATCATAAAGCCAAAGATATAGCCAAGAATGTAAACACGGAAGAAGTCGAATGGTATCATATTGCATGCACAGAGTTTCTGAATCGAGTCATCATGAAGGATTGTTCAAAGAAAGCAGGACGCATCATCAACAGAGAAACGGTCATTTTTGATTGTACTGGCATGGGCTGGCACCGTAAGTTTTTATATATTGTTTAATTGTTCATTGATTGACATCATTTAGAGTTGCATATGCCTGCTTTAAACTATATCCGCGCCATCGCTCATTGTGATCAGAATTATTATCCAGAAACGCTCAACAAACTCTTTTTGATCAATGCACCTTCGGCATTTGTCTATGTTTGGAAAATAGCAAAGACTTGGCTGGACCCAGGGGTAAGATGATGGTATACACATTATATATATACTAATACCGTGTGTGTGTAGACAATTGCCAAGATACAGATTTTGGGATCTGACTACAAAGACACTTTACTAAAACAAATTCCTCCAGAGAACTTGCCTTCCTTTTTAGGTGGTGAATGTACTTGTGAGCATATGGATGGTGGTTGTGTTCCTTCTCAAGGTAAATGATAATCATACATATGGAATATAAATAACATTCATATAGTATTGAAAAATGCAAAACCCTTGGAAGCACGTGATGATAATGAAAAGGTGTCTACTGCTTATAATACAAGCATCATGAACGAAGCGAAAACATCGGCTGTAGTTCGAGGTCCAAGTTTCTACGGACAATGAGTTTATTAAACAATTTTTTTTTAGTCAAAGAGACCTATTTAAATAAAGTTAGTCCTATGTCATGTATGTTATATGGTAGACGTACCGAAACCCATGTCATCGTCAGATTCTTCCTTCTCTTCTTCCTTCTTTTCTTCTTCAGCAGGAGCAGCTTCACCAGCACCACCAGCGGCAGCACCACCAGCAACGGCAGGACCAGCACCAGGAGCACCTACGTTCATGAGAAGAGCCTTGAGATCTTGACCAGCGAGGGCTTTGGCATAAAGAGAGAACCAGATAGGTTCAACTTCGACACCAGCAGCAGAGACTAAAGTCTGGAGCTTATCAGCCTATAAAAAGATGGGGGCCATGGTCAATATATGTTTATTACAGTTTAAAAAACGACTCACAGTGATTTCAATGTTGTCATCTTCGAGGATGAGAGCAGCGTAAACGACAGCAAGTTCAGCAGACATTTGCTATTATGACAAGAGAAAGAGAAGGATGGATGGACGGGATGGATGGATGGATGGACATACGGGGCCTTAACCTATATGCAAAAATGCCCCGTTAAAACAAGTATACTTGGCGCTATTTTAATTTTTTTTATTTTTATTTTTTTAAGAGTGAATGATGGTGCTATTCTCCAAGAACTCAATCAAATCGATATCTTCACGTCTCTTCTTCATTCTAGCTTTTATCTGTTGTCTTTCTCTTTCCAACATGGACAAAATAACAAACTGCTCAGATTTTTCTTGTTCAATTTCTGCCAATTTTAATTTCTGCCAGTTTATGTGCTTTGTGCATTTCTTGAGAGAACAGGAAGAAAAGGGTTTTTGAGTGACCCATTCGGATTGACTGTTGAGAAGCATCAAATCGTGCTCATCTATTGATTCAACCTTTTCCCAAATGGTATCTGGCCAACTCAGTCTCGAATCGAACCCACAACACTCTTCGTTATGTTTGTCAGCCAATAGCTCTAAAAACCTCAACTTGTGTTGACACAGTTTGATCATTGATTTTGCATGCTGTCTTTCTTCCTTGACTCTACTCAGTCTTGCTCTATCATCCATATCCGCAAATGAACTTAATTTTCCTCTTGATAACGGATTCTTCATTTCAGCCTGTTCAATACGAGTTCTAGCTACTTGGATACCACAACGATCTGAACAATATTTACTTAAATGTCCAAAGTTTTTGCCCATCCTTGCTGGTTTTTGACAGCCTGTATTGGCACATTTTGGTTTCCAAGAGGTCTTCTTGCCAGTGACTAATAATAATAAAGTAAGTAAAAAAATTTTTTTTTTAGTTTTTTTCTCTCTTTACTTTTTGAACAATTTTCACAAAAGAACAAGTCAACAAAGAGTCCTTGTGATTCAGGCAATCCAATGCATTCGCCATGGAACCATTGATTACAGTTATCACAGGCAATCATGAACTCGGTTTCTGTATAAGGCCTTTTACAAATACAGTGAACTATATTTTCTTCAGGTAAAGCTCTTGTTTGTTTTGTATCTGCTGTATCATTGTTGTTGTTGTTGTTATTTACAGTCGGCTTTATCAAATGTTTTGTTGGTGGTCTTCCTCTTTTCACTTTTTTGACCATCTATAAACATAATTAGTCACATATTCCTTTTCTTTTTTTTTTCTATATTACCTGTTCATTATTATTAACCACTGTTTCTTCTCTTGTTCGTTTATTATTATTATTACTATTATTATTATCATTATCAAGGTCAGGGTATGGAGTGATATGAGGGTATTGCCGATTATGTTCTTCAGGAGTTTCTACAGGTTGCCATTTCAAAATTGGAGCCATTCTTTTTCGTAATGGTAAATGCTTTGTTGTATTATTTGGATCTAAAGGACGTAATAAACCTTCATCGTTATTTTCAATAGCAATTGGAGGAAAAGAAGACATTATTATTATTTATTAAATAAGAAAAAAAAGAGAGAGAGAATGGAAAAAAAGGGCAGGGGGGATAAAGGTTTTTTTAATTGATAGAGTGTGAAAGAGAGCCAATTAGATTTTTTCTATATTTTCTAAACCATGTTTTTTGTTGTGTTCACAGCAACCACTTCTTTTGTTTCAGTTTTGGGATGAAGGACGAGAATGACAATGATCCAAACAGCCATCATACCCACGTTGACTAATATATTGCTCTTAGTTAAAGTCATAACGATAGTCATCAGAACTTACCATTGCAAATCAAAAAGTCAGAGTCAAACTTGTTACGATTCAGTCGTTTAGCCTCTGTTAGACCGTCGACCGTCAAGACAACCAAAGCGCTTGAAAACAGAAATAGAGCGACAGAGAGGATGAGGTTCAAGTCTTGATAGTATCGAATTCTTGATGTCATAAAAGCAGAATCATTATGGTCCTTTAATTGATGCAACAACCTCCTAAATCGAAAATGAGACACAACACCCAACATCGAGATTGCCACTAATTCTATTATCCATATTAGTTTTCATAGTTACACACTCACTAGACATACCTATGCCGTACACCAACTCGGGCATGATTTCTTTATAAGTGTAATCATAGATCTTTCTTGAGAAATTGAATTGTAAGACAGGGAATAAAATAATATTTACAATAGTCCTAATAATAATTATAACAAATTAGCCATAAACACACAAAAAAAAAAAACGCTCTAATAATTTACCATATAATATATACTTTAAATTCTTTGCTACTCATGAACCTTGCCCCTGCCACGAGTTTAATGAGGTAATTCCAGAAACATTGCAGCAATAATAGTGTTCCTCTATTTGAAATATTAAAAAAAAATATTAAACAAGTCAATACACAACATACGTTTGTAACGAGAATCCAATACAGATACTATAATCTGTGGGTATGATGATATCCTTATCTGCTTTTGTCCACAAAAGCTCAGGCTTCGTAATGATTCTACCAGGTCCAATTTGGACGAATCCTTCTTCATATTTAACTCGACATGACACAATGTCTACAAGATGATGAATACACATGAATGGCTTCTTGTTCTATTCTTTTACCATAGTAAAGCTGAAATGGTATCATAAAGAATATTAATCCAGTAACAATCGTTTTTAATTCTAATCTTTTGAAACTTGCGAACGATAGACATTTGAATCCATTGGTTTGATACACTCGATAAATGTACCAAATATAAATATATACTAATCCAACTGCTCTTTCTATTATACAATTAGTAACCATGTTTGCCATGACAACAACAACTTACGCAGAAAACTGTAATCACTAAGGTGTGTCATATTATGATATTAAACAGTAAAATAAATAAATAAAAAAAGGAAACTATTAAATTCATTTTCCAATTCATTTGTCCTCTTTTTATCTTTTAGCTCCTTTATCTCTCAATGTCTTCAAGGAGTTCTTTATAAATCACTTTCAAATGCACGCATCCAAAGGGGGGAAACGGCATAAACGCCTAGAAAGGATTATGTGTAACATGATAAGTAAGCAGGAATCATTTGACCCCGCATTTTTTTAAGTTTAACAATACTTTTTTTTTCTTTTTTTTTCTCTCTTTTTTTTATACTTTAATAATGACAGGACAACAGACGACCGAGGTTAGAAAAGGGTAAGAAAGTGAGTTAAAGATGTCTTTTTTTTTTAGCTTAACATTTTTTTTATAAAGGCACGAATTGGATCAAGCTAAACTTGAAGCGTACTTGACAACCCATGTGCCTGGTTTCAAAGGACCACTTTATATAAACCAATTCAAGTTTGGTCAATCAAATCCTACCTATCTACTTAAAGACGGAAAGTAAATATTTATATATATATATATATATACTTTATAAGTTTGAATCTTATATACCATAAAAAGTCAACAACAGTATGTGCTTCGAAAGAAGCCCCCTGGAACCTTACTTTCTGCTACCGCACATGCCATTGAACGGGAGTACCGCATCATTCACGCCCTTGGCACCAAAACGGATGTTCCGGTTCCCAAGGTTTATGTGCTCTGTGAAGACACGAGTATCATTGGCACCCCATTTTATGTCATGGAGTTCTTAAAGGGTCGAATTTACGAAGACTGTCGTATGCTGACGATTCCCTTTGAGGAACGCCGACAGCTTTGGCATGCAGCGGTTGAAACGCTTGCCAAGTTGCATCGAGTTGATTTCAAGGCGATCGGATTAGGCAATTTTGGCAAACATTCTGAATTCTATGAACGCCAGATGAGATCGTTATCCAAGGTGTCACAAGCTCAAGCAAACACCAAAGATGATGAGACAGGAGAATATGTAGGTCCAATTCCTCGACTGGATGATATGTTTGCTTGGTTCAAGAAGAACAAGGCGCATGATCAGGCAACCATTGTGCATGGAGACTTTAAGGTAAAAAAAAAAATGAGGCATAACCCCCTTTGAAATTAATATTATTTTAATAGATTGACAACATGGCAAGTATAGAGATTAAAGTTTGAAACACGCATATATAATGACGTACAATAGATCTTTCACCCTACTGAACCCAAAGTGATTGGTATTCTCGACTGGGAACTGTCTACCATTGGCCATCCTTTGTCTGATCTTTCTAATCTTCTTCAACCCTATTACGTACCTGAAGAAAGTGCCATCGGCCTCCGGGGATTCAAGAACGCCAAGGAGCCTCTGCCGGTTCCAGGAGTAGATGAACTCATTCAGGTCTACTGCTCCTACACTCACCAGTCGTACCCTCTTCAAGGTTGGAATTTCGCTGTTGCCTTCTCCTTTTTTAGATTGGCTGTCATCCTTCAAGGGGTTGCCGCTCGTGTGGCGCGCAAACAGGCGTCATCTGCAGAGGCAAAACTTCATGCAACCCGATTTAGGCCTGTTGCCCAATTGGTGTTGGATATTGTAGATCAGAGTGATGAACGTAGTAAGCTTTAATAAAATAAATAAAAAGTGCTTGCTATTTTTGGAAATGCTTTTTTGCGCGCCAAACTTTTTCATTTTCCCATATTATTCATCAGAAAACAAAAAAGATGTGTGTGGTAAAGTTTTTTTTTTTTTTCTTTGTGAACTATATTTTTTCTTATGACATAAAAAAATGCACACGGTATCTCTCTCACTTGTATTTCCATGGACGAAAAAGAAAAAAAAATGCTAATGAAGCTGACCGAGAGAGAGGCTGGTTGTGTGTAAGTGATTGGCCTTCAAGATTCATATTAGATACTCAGAGGGACATTGAATGAACTTGAGTCTTACTTTCTCCTTGTCATACATTGTCACATTCATTATTCTCTGTCTGTTGGACTTTATATGAATCAGGGCGCATTATGAACAGACGATCATTTTTCACCCTTAAAACCCTTTATGGCAATTGACGCCATCATACATACGGTCTCATAACTCCAAAATGCTACAGGATTTCCCTCATAATTTATACAGCATGCATCTCTTTTATTGTGCCCTCCTTTTTTTTTTTTGGAAAGGGTCCTAAGGGCGAAAGGAAGTCAAGGAGGGAAGTAGTGTTCCTATATTAGAAAATAAAAAAGGGAAACCTTGCTTTTTATCGGAATGTCTCTCAGTACGTCATTATATTAATGTAGAGTTTCTTGTATGTGAGTCGAATTCATTTTTAAACTTGACTGTATTTCGCATAGTTTAAGTATTCAAAAGACTGAAAAGAGAATTTATATCCAGAATACGCTTACATGGTGACTAATATAAGCATTTGAATGAACGAAGCAAATTTGCCAATATTTATTAAGAGGGGGGAGGGTTAAATGAAATATAATAAAACATTATAAATGAATGTTCCCTTACTTGGGATATCTAACTGTAATCAATACTATGTGTGAGAGATAGATCCTCTCCCTAGAATAAATCCAAAAAGGTCTAGGAGCAAAAGGTGATGTAAATGTTGGAAAGATATAAAAGTAAAACATGGTTAGGAAAATCTTGAGCTATATTTTCACCAATACCAGGATTCATCATCTACATGGCAACAACACTACTAGACGAAGTGTGGTCTCGAATTACCAAAAGCTTCTCTGGTTGATCTTTCTTTCTTGTCCATCAATTCTGACGAAAACAAATCAAAGCGATTTGAGGTTCGTTCAAGTCATCGAGGCATTTTTGTAACTTGAGCTGAAATGACAGAGATAAAATCTATCCGTTTTCTTCTCTCTCCTTCGCTTGGGACTTGCCACGAGAGGGGCACTCCGCAAGATTAAGCCGACGACCAAAGAATGTCCTTCAAAAACATACAATTCTTTGGACAGAACAGTATTACTTGACTTGGAAGGCAAGGGAAATGGTATCCCTAACGTCATAAGCGTTATTTCTGACGTAGGAGAAGATCAACGAGGCTTACTCTGGCTGAATGATTATCTCAGAAATGTTGATAAACCTTCAATATTCCTTTAGTATTTCAAAAATAAAGTGTTTGAATGTAGTGTTTTTGTAACATCGACTATTTATATATACTTTGGCAACTTGGAAGAGTCTATCTGGATAATCACAATCTATATTTAATGACTATATTTTTTTTTCTTTACAAGCACTTTTGTAATGATTATCCATTTCGGAAAATCCGATCACTTGGTTTAGGACAATCAAGCAAATGACGTTACATTAAGAGAAACAAAAAAGTTATATTTAAAAAAGAGCATAAGCGGGTTTTACTGTTTCCTTTCATTAGCTGCGCAGTTATTTAAAAGAAGCGCTTAGTTAAAAAATAGAAGTAATGATCAACTGGCGCGCTATATGTTACACACATTACTTAAGCATATTCATTGAAAATGTCTCTTATCAGAATCAACTAAAAAGTGCATCATTGACACAATTAATGTTCAATATCATGAATAAGTGAGTCTATTTATATGAGGCAAGCAAACCCTCTGCTAACTTGATCCTTTTGAGAAATGCACTTTAATTCAATTATCTGAATTTACAGTCAATTCATTCTTTTTTTTTTTTCAGCACTCATTGCCAGAATTTAGCATTTAAGATTTATAATCAGAAGTCCGTACCTTCTTCCGTCGGCTACCGAAAAAAAACTTGACTAAGTGTATTCCCACTCGGCGGTTAAATTTCACTACGTTTCTTTTTAATACAGTTACGAAGCGAGCCCCTTGCTATTTTTTTTCTTCTTTCTTTTTTTTTTAACATGTCTAATTTTAACAACAATATCGCAACCAAGTTTCCGGATCTTAAACCCCGAGCACCTAGTGGAGAGGCTCTTTTGGAAACTGAAAGAGCCAAGACTAGCTTCGATGTCAAGGCTTTATCCAAGTTTATGTACACGGAAGAATGGCTTGATAGAATGTACAAAATATTAAACATTATCGAGAATGATCCTGCCTTTGATAAGACCAAGCGTTACTATGAAAGCCGATCCGAAAAGATAAAATCCAGTCTGTGGAAAGATAGACGTATGACAGAACTTGCTAGGTATATATAAATGCGTGTATGTGTATTCGTTGGCCTTATCTATTTATTTATAAAGAGAGCATAACTGGGATGATCAAGACCTTCAGATTGTAAATTTCCTTTTTGATCAATCCACACCCGTAAGTATACACTACTTATTTCTGATGACATTTTGTGTAACCAAACATTGAATAGTTTTCATTGCATTACGGCATGTTTATTCCTACATTGAGAACACAGACAACAGAAGAACAAAAAAAACTCTTCCTTGAACCAGCATTAAGGAACGAGATTATTGGTTGCTATGCTCAAACGGAGGTATGCTTTATTTAGGTCTTTATCATCGTGATTTACTTACCTCGTTGTAGCTCGGACACGGGTCCAACGTCCAAGGTATTGAAACAACAGCAACATATATCCCCGAAACAAACGAGTTCGAACTCCATTCTCCTACCTTGACTGCATCCAAGTGGTGGATCGGCGGCCTCGGCAAGGCTGCAAACCATGCTATTGTCATGGCACGTTTGATCACTGATGGAAAGGATTATGGACCACATCCATTCTGTGTACAAATTCGTAGCATGAAAGACCATACTCCTCTCAAAGGTGTCACAGTAGGTGATATTGGTCCCAAATTTGGATTCAATTCTGTCGATAATGGGTTCATCATGTTTGATCATTACCGTATACCCCATATTTCCTTTTTAGCCAAGTATTCTCAGGTACAACCAGGAACAGGCGTTTACAACAAGCCCCCTAATGCCAAACTTTCTTATGGCACCATGGTCTATGTTAGAGCCAATATTGTCATGGGTAAGTTGAAATATACTATATAATGGCGATATGCTTATGATCATCAAAGGTGTACGATATGCTCTTGCCAAGGCAACAACGATCGCCATTCGATATTCAACCATCCGACAGCAATTCGTTGACTCTGTTTCTCCTAAAAAATGGAACAACAAAGTGGTAGAGACACCCGTATTAGATTATACCATGCAACAATACCGTCTTTTGCCTATAGTTGCTGCTGCATATGCATGTTTCTTTACAGGCAGAGAAATGTTGCGCTTGTACGATCTTAATCAGGAAGCCATGCAAAAGGGTAACTTCAACCTCTTGGCTGATCTTCACGCCAGTTCGTCTGGATTGAAAAGCTTGACGACCACAATGGCCGTTGAGTCAATTGAAGATTGTAGACGTGCCTGTGGCGGTCATGGTTATAGTATGTTCTCTGGGCTGGGTCAATTCTATCAAGATTATCTTCCCAACGTCACTGTAAGACACATGAAAAAAAAAGGAACCTTTTACTAACCCCCCTATTTTCTTAGTGGGAAGGTGATAATTACATATTGACTCAGCAAACAGCACGTTACCTGTTAAAGACATTCCGTAATGTTGTTGCTGGAAAGGCTGAGCCATCCGAACACAACCATACGATCAACTATTTGACACAGTACCTTCAGAACCCCAACGCCAAGTGCCCTGCTTCAAAGCCAAGTGATTTCTTAAACCCAGAGTTAATTCTTTCCGCATTTGGCTACCGAGCTGCTTATGGTATTGCCAAAGTGGCCGAAAAGATTGACCGTGAAGGCCGTAGCTGGAACTCGATGTTGGTTGAAATTAATCGTATCTCTAGAGCTCACTGTCAATATATCCTCGTTCGTAACTTCATCGTCACTCTTCAAAATGATGTCACTCTCACTCAACCTGAATACAAGCCTATCAACAACGTCTTGAAGACGCTGGCTGCCCTCTTTTCTCTAAATACAATGGAAAAGGAACTCTCAGAGTTCTTGCTCTCGGGCTATTTATCATCTGAGCAGTGCTCTATGTTGAAGGAGCAAGTCATTTCACTCCTCAATGCGGTTCGACCTGATGCAGTTGGCCTTGTCGATGCGTTTGCATTACCTGATTATTACCTCCACTCTGCTCTTGGCCGCTACGATGGTCGTGTATACGAGACGATGACAAAGATGGCCGAACTAGAACCTTTAAATCAAACACTCGTGGTCGATGGATATGAGGAGAACATCAAGCCTTTTGTTCATCAAAGAAAGACTGTCAACAAGGACACAGCTACTTCTAGACTGTAGAAAACCTTTATAGATATATTTTTAATTTATTCCAATAAAACTGAGCTGCTTGAAGTAGTCTTTATTCGTGACACGTTGAGGCAACTATAGTCCCATCTTTAAATCAATTCCATATTACAAGATGCGAATTTTACTATATTTAGCAATTATGAGTTTATTCATGCAGAACTTCAATGGCTGCTTTTTTCGCCACAACATACGCGTGTAAATATGCGGCCTGCTCCTTTATCCATGTTTAGTTGTTATATAATTTGTGTTTTTTGCTTTATAGAGATGTTCTTTAGTTTTAAAAAAGAAGAGAGAGAGGGGGGGATGTTATGCATGTGAAACTTTGTGTTTATTCCCCACACTTTAGTTGCTTTTAAAAAACGCATAATTGATCCCCCCTTTTTTTTTTTCTCTCTCTTTTTATTTATTAATCATGTCTCAACCACTTGTATCCAATCTTTTACTCCCAGAACTGGAACGTCAATTGAAGGAAGACAAGAATCTGTGGCCAAATGTCAAAGGGCTATTCATTGTCACTGTTACAAAGAAAAAGAAGCCTCAAGCAAAATGGTTCGTATATAAACCTACGTTATGATTATTTTTTACTCATCTGTATACAAAAAGGTTTCTCTTGCTGCAGGGTAATATATTCAACGTGTTGCTGTGAAAGTAACTTGTTGACGTAAAATAGGAAACAATGTGTTACCTTATATCAGTACGAACGAAGAAGAAGTACGTGCAGGAATCAAGGGAAAAGTTCGCACTGTTCATATCCAAGTTGATGATGCTGATCTTTTAAACTTTATAACAGGAGGGTAAGATAAGGTTGCTATCCGATGCGTCACTTTGTTTTTCAACCTTCTGTTATATCATAGAATGACAGGTGTAAGAGCCTACATGACTGGAAAAATTAAAGTAAAGGGAGATCTCTTGTTAGCCCAAAGATTGGAAGAAGTGTTTGAAAAGCTGGGTGGAAGAGAGGTAGACTGTTTTGATATACATACTGTAGTTACTTATTCAATATAGAGAGCCATTGAGTTTATAAAAAAGAATGAAGAGGCTTTTACGGCGGTAAACAAATCAAAGCTGTAAATTTATGCGTCGATTGTGGCACAGCAACAAGGCTGCGCAACACACCGCAGCGGCATACAATCCATAAATAAAGATTGAATTATACTCCCTTTTTTTCTTGTTGAATTTATTCTTGTATCCATGCCCTCTTTTGCTAGCTACCCTTCCTCTCTTCCTTACTTTGCTGAACTTCACGATGAAGGATTGTTGAGCGGATTGATTGCTGGGCTTAAGGGTAGTCGCGTCAGGGTTAAGAAGGCACCTGCCAACCAAGGAAAAGCACCCACCCACCCCTTTATGAACTATTACGACCGTCTTGTCAACAAAGCTCATACTGACAATGGTGCAGTTATCCATGCCTCTACGCTTGACTCGTGTGTAGATCTGTACTATGCCTCGGACCGACTGAGTAATCGATATGAAAAGCAAAAGCTGTATGAAGACGCTTGGGCTGCTGATCCTGAAATGACATTGCATATTATCTTTTACATGCGCTCTATTCATCGTGGCCAGAGTCTCATTGACGGATTCATGGACGCCTTTTCTTGGCTGGTCCGATATCATCCTCGTACTGCCCTGGCTAATCTGCATGTTTTGATCGATGGAACCGTTCGTACGGATGCTGCTCTCATGGCGCTTAGAAGACGCGAGCGCATGAAGGTGAAGGCTGAGCGTGAGGGGTGGGAGCTTATGGATGATGACAAGGAAGAGGAGTTGCTCGAGCGACGTGATTTCAAGACGCATGGCTACTGGAAGGATCTTTGCACTATTTTGACAATCTATGCTCAAGGTGAAATAGCTGGTCCCGTCAGTTCTGATGGTTACAAGGCTTTGAAGTGGCCTCGTATGGCTAGAAGTACAAACCGCTTGAAAGTGTATAGTCATCGCAGGGCCAGATATGCTGCACGTAAGAATATGGATCCAGAAATGGCCAAAAAGGAGGTGGAAAGATCTCTTGAGAGAGTCAAGGAGTATAATGCCAAGAAGCAGGTGGAAGCAAAGGAGAAGCGTCATGAGATCCGCAAGCGAAGGAACGACCATGTTGATTACCTTTTGCATGAACACAAGACTTACCGAGCGCTTCATTTTACTATTGCCAGGCTATTTGCTAACCAGCTCAAGACGGACATGGCGCAATTACAAAAGAATAAAGCTGCTGTTCAAGAAAATCGTCTGAAAGGAAAGTACGCATTAGGATTCAACCTGAGTCTCGCCGCAAAATGGGCTCCCTCTCTAGGTAATTGTCATGACAAACATACGTTTTTGGCAACATCCATCGCTGAGCTACTTTTCCCTCCCAAGAGCCATCAAGGCCCTGGTGAATCGCGTGAGCATTACCTCAACAAGGTCAGAGATCTTTATCGCAAGCAGTACCTCATTCCTCTTCGTGAAGCTATCGATTTGGCGGAGCATTATTTGAAAGAAGGTAAATGGGATCAGCTCGATCTTGGTCATGTGCCAGCTGTATGTCTCCAAAAGAATTTGGCCCTTTTCTTTAAGCACGCTCCTGATATGGTCACAGGGTACCTGGATAAAGTGGCCAAGGGCAAGAAGAAAGTGAGTGGCGAGACAGTTACTCCAAACAGCCTTGTTTACCGTATACTTTCTGGAACCTCTGAAGGGATGTCCAAGATTATGACCGCATTGCCTTCCGCAAGAGAAAGACTAAAAGAAGCGGCGTTGAAGCTAGCGAACGGTCAGTGGAATACTCTTATTCAAGGTCTCCGTAATACATCACTACTAGACACCAAGAATGGCCTAAAGGAAAGAGTAGATCTCGGCGAGTGCATAGCTATCTGTGATGTATCTGGATCCATGTATGGGTCTAGAGGAAAAGGTGAGAATACCCCTTTATACGCTGCTATTGGTTTATCTTTGGTCATTGCGAATTTGGCTAAACCTCCATTTAATGGTGCTTTGATTACCTTTTCACAAAGACCTACGCTATTCCATATTGATACGTCTCTTCCCTTCAGTCAGCAAGTGTATGAAATTCAAAACAACATGGAAGATGGCTATAACACTAATCTAGAATCTGTGTTCCTTGATGTACTATTACCGATGGCTATTGAGAATAAACTGAAGCAAGAAGACATGGTGAAACGACTGTTTATCTTTACCGACATGGAGTTTGATGAAAATGGACAAAGCTATGGTAGATATGATGACAATGAGGCTTATAGAAAAAAGCATGAAACTACATACGACTCTATATGTCGCAAGTATCGTGAAGCTGGCTATGAACCTCCTGAGATGGTCTGGTGGAACCTTGCTGGTAGTGGTTCAGCCTCTTTGGAAAATCTAGATGCTCCTGTGACAAAGGATCAAGTAGGTGTCAAGATGCTGTCTGGTCTCTCTACAGGCATGGTAAAGGCCTTCCTCGATGGCAATGATCCTGCCGATGGTAATGATCCTGTCGATGACAATAGCAGTAAAGCCGCACCAGAAAAAAAGCAGTCGCCAAAGAGAGAAACCCCACAGGATTTTGTCAAAAGGGCTGTTTATCATGAAAGCTTCAGAGGACTCATCATTGTAGATTAAATGCATTCATTCCCATTTTTTTTTGTACATATTTCAATCACAAATCAGTAAATGTATATAAACATCAATTTATTTATTGTCCTATTTTATGATAAAAATCATCCGTAGCCCAATAACAAGATTGAGCAAAGGCATCAATCCCAGTAGTCTTTGTTGTACATTGGCTGTAACGAGTCTTGGTAAATACAGAAGGCTTCCTGTAACCACTCATGATTATCTTCACTTCTCTCAATACTTTGCTTTTAACCAAGATTTCCAAGATATCATGTACTTCTTTTCTAGAAAAGCTTGTACTAAAATTTCTGTGTATGGCTGCCTTTGTTGTCCCGGGTCGTTTCAGAATGAATTCAACAATCGCCTCTGCATAACTGTTGAAAAGTACAGGTGTCAAGGAACCATTGATGTCTGTCCATAAGTTGGGCACGATCAGTTGTTTTCTTGCAAGATTTTTATAGGAACTTCTAGCTATCTTTGATCTACCGCTCTCATTATCAGCTGTATTTGCTACATTCGCATCAATCACCCAATCACTTGCATAAGGAACTAACACACAGCGAGGATAGACGGATCCAACTTGCAAGATGAGAGGAGATGAGTGGTTCGTTAGCTTATCTATAGCAGCAATAATGTCCTCATCAGCATATCGACCTCCTAATTGTTCTTTAATTTCATGTATGACTATGCCTTGCTCTGCTCTTGCTTTAAGGATATCAACTATTTCTTTCAACAATTGCTTGTTAAATGCATCAACAGTGCCAAGAAGTGCATCAAACTTGGCTTCAAATTCGTCTATTGTTAGGTTCTCAATATGGATGTTTTCCTGCACCACTTTATCAAGTGGTACGGATTCATTGTCAATCTTTGTAGTCTTTTCAACTTCTACACTAAAATCAATGGGAGTTGTATCTGTTTATAAAGAGATATTCAGTAAAAGTCCTAGTTAGAGATAGCTGACAGTTTTACCCATCAAACGTGAGCGTGGAATAGCCGCTGCGGCTTTTTCAATAATCGTTTTCCTCCTATGTATATCCAATGCCAACTAAAGACACAGCGTCAGTTCACTATATAACTCATCTATACTTGTCTTCTCTCTCACCTTTTCTTGAGAGAGTAAATTGAGTATGCATGCCGCCATACCAGAACTCATGAGCACCGGTGGTACAGGGATTTTTTGATCTTGTTGATTCAAAAACTTTTCGTATTCTCTCGCTTGAGCATATATTCCTTCAGGATACGAACTTGCTAAGCGTACCATAAATTTGGCAGAAAGTGCATAACGAGTACCAGGAATAGTACGGTCTTGCCTTGGTGATCTGATCAGCGTGTTAGATTTGTGCAACATTTCAAGGACACCATTTGAAATATCCTGAGGGAATACTTGAAGAAGCTTGAACGAATAAAATGGATCAAATCGTTCTGAAGGCGTCAATAAAGACATCTATTATGAATGAATGGAGGTCAGTTTTTAAAGTAATGTATGCTTACTTATACATACCAAAGCTATGCATCTATAAAGATATCCTAGCCTTACTGATCGACGTTCTTCGTTTCTCAGTAAAGAGGCTGGTGCATCAAACTCAATATCTCTGGCTCTGCGAACACAAAAAGCGTGATTTCCCAGTATGGTTATTTTTGCTGCCATAGTAGATACACGATAGTAATCTTGTTCAAAGTAATACTTGTACGGCTTAATGCTAGGTAGAATTCTATAGCGCGAACGAAGGTCTTCACTCGAATTTGGCAATACAAGCTCTTTAGGCAAACTATGTTTAGAAAACGCATTAGTATTGACTCAAGCTGTGCATAATCCCCTTACTTTTCGTTCATTTCGCTTAATTTCTGCAAGAAGTAGGTTACTTGTCCAAGCAAATCGAAGTTGACCATTTCTCTTGGATTTTCATCCACAATGTCACCATTAGCAATACCTTCATTGTAAAACTTTCTCCATAATTCCATATAATTAAGCACTTGTAAGTTAAAGGAGGGATCGCGTGAAAGAGTACCATATCTTCGTAAACAATTGATTGGAGGCTTGTTGATCACTTGAGTTGCAGCAGCCCATTTAAATCGATTATACTTTCGGTTACTTCTTAGTCTTAGAATAGCTGTGGTATACATCAAAAGTTCATCTTCATGCGCGCTCCAAGGATTTTTACTCATTCGAATTTGTATGAAGGGTCTGGTGTCTCCTTGTTTGAGAACTGGGAGAGAAGATAGGCTGTCCATAAAAGTAGCCTCGTCTCCACTTTGCTTATTGTCGTCAGGTTCTTCATCTTGTTCCGCATCAGGATATATCTTTCGAAGGTTCCTGAAATGCTGTCGTTGACCTTTGAATAATGTCTTGTCACTAAGACGAACCACACGACGTCCTCCGAACATGTCAATTTTATGCTGGCCCTTGCGTCTTCTACGACTTCCGCCTTCAATTTTCCTGATCGTCCTAGCTTCCATTTTGTCGTCCAGTACGCCTTGAACTCTTTTATAATATAGACGAACAAAATGAGCTTGACTTCCAATGTCATCAGCGATACTTAGAATTAGCCCGTCATTGTTCAAAGGTGTGGTGCCCTTAGACTTGTCAACATACGAGTTCAATATTTTTCTTTGACTACTGTTATAAATAGTGGATATCTTCCAACTCTTGTTACCAGTTAGACATGCGTATGCTATTCTTTCGTTTTCGTTATTGAATGGTTTCACAATCTCGTCTTCCGGAATATCTTGTTGGGTTCGATAGAGACATTCCAGATCGCTCCAATAAGTGGCAAGGTCTTCTTGTGAAGTCAAAGTATAACTCTGGACAACAGGCTGCCCAGACCTTCTAATCTCGCGCATATCGACCTTTCTTTCGATGACATATTTATGAGCCAAAGCGGTAGTATAGTAAATATCGTTCAGAGGATTTTTGTTTACGTTTATCGGACGTATTGGGGTCACAACATGAATGAATTCCAAAATGTTTAAGACATATAGAAGCTTTTGTCTAAACCTGTTTTGATGAGTGAACATTCGCTTTCTGACTTGAGATGGGAGCTGACTACATGGGATGGATAGATCTTTGGTATTTCTAAAGTATTCCTTGATCACATCATCTACTTCTGTCACACCGATAGATTGGCAATATACTTCGACGGACATGTTGCGTACGAGAGCACTAGCCGTGATAATTCCATCTTCCTTATTGATACCTTCAATATCTTCTGAACTACAAATAAGGCTAAATAAATGCTCATGTAGCCGCTTTGCACGAAGCATGCTTGGATAGATGTAGTTGAATTGAATAGCAGTAAACAGCCAATTCTTTGGTATTTTAGGATTATCAACGGTCTTGCATCTCTCATAGTTTGCTTCCAGTTGTTCAATTCGTTTTTCCAGGTCTGCGGCGCTTGCAACATCACTGCTGTCAATGAGCTCTTGTAACTTTTCCTTCATACGACTAATTCTTTGTGCCGTTCTTTCGATCGGAATGGAAAGCCTCTCATACTTTGTAATATAGAATGCTGATCGATGCACTGCATGGCGATCTCTAATTGCCTTCATGAAATCGTCATATTCGGATGAGTTTGTGTCAATGTCTTTTCTCATAATAACTCTTCTTTCCACGAATTTGCCGTTCATCATTTCACATCTAACAATTTTATCTTTTATCTCGCCCTTTTTGACAAGTTGATCAATGGTTCGCTTCAATGTTTTCATACAGATGGTATGCGCATGATTCATCGTACCAAACTCTTTTCGCAGCCTTTCTTGGTATACATCTCGAAAGTTTTTACTATATTCAATCATACGCATTTCGTCCAAGAGTGCACGTAGCACTATCGCACGTTGTTCCATGTAACTGTTTCTTGAAGGTTTGTTATGATTGAACGTCCTAATGTTGCTTTTCAATATAGCAACTGTGGCTTCACGTCTAGGCTTACGGCTAGTTCTGGATGTAACCGCTTTTAATAGAGCAGGTACTTCATCGTTTGGCAGGCTGATCGCGACTACACTCTCCGTTGAAGTGGAGGCAATGTTACTATCGTCCATAATAACAGCGGGCATACTTTCAGTTGGTGTAGAAACAGCTACCGCGAGTGTAGGTGTACTGCTTTCAGCTGGAGTAGAAGTCATGCTATCTACTATTGAGGTTGGATCAGGCGTGCTTTCAGCTGAAGTAGCAGCGATATTATCGGTTATCGAGATTGGATCAGACATGCCTTCATTTGAGATAGGTGTGAAAGTAGTTGCCTTTATAATAGGAGATTCTGGTATGATTATAACAGGTGAAAGTAAATCAGAAGACTCTGACGAGCTTTCAGAACTTTCGTTGACTGTCTCTGCTTTTAGTTTTTTGGGTTCAGGGTTGGCAGCAGATGTATCCTCCACCTGTCTATCTCTCTTTTTGGATTTATTGAAAAACTCCATAATACCAGCTTGACGTTTCTTCTTCGAAACGCCACTAGGGCTTTGTTGTTTATTTGGGTGTTCAACGACAAATTGCGTATCCGGATGAGATACTGGTCGTTGCACTGGATACTGCATTGATTGCTGTGTTGGTTGTTGCATTGGTTGTTGCATTGGTTGTTGCATTGGTTGTTGCATTGGTTGTTGCATTGGTTGTTGCATTGGTTGTTGCATTGGTTGTTGC